GCTCCTGCGAGCCTAGTGTAGTGTGCGCTAGGCCCTGGGCTCCATCCTGATACGGCCAACAAAGAAAGGGCATTAATTAGCTCGCAGAAACTGCGAAGGCCTTGTGGTTTTTGCAGTGAACAAAAGTTTGTGCTCCCTGCGAGGAGGGAGGAGGGAGGAGGGGCTCGTGGGGGCGACCCAGTACCACAGTGAAGTACTGCCACAGTCGTAGAGCACTGTACAAACTCAGAATTAATCCTCCAAGGCGTACTGCGGACAAAATAAAAGAAATTAAGAACAGTGAAGGAAACCAGAACATGCCACCCAGAATGTCCCTTTGACATACGGTTATTTTGACTTGAAAATAAATTAATGCAGGAAGCGGCCTTCTCTGCTCCCCCTGCTGCGTTACATATTACAGAGGAACTGGAGGCCTGGCGGGGGCTCACACCTGTCACCCAAGCACTCCGGAGTGGAGGTCTGGATGATCTGGCGGTTTAGGGAGGCCCTGCTTCAAATTTAAAAATGAGCCACAGGAAAAACATTGAGAATCCCCTCCCCGGGGGGTTGGGACAGAAAATGTCAGAATCTCCTCCCCTAGAGTTTCTACACAAGCCAAGCGGTGCAGACAGCTTGGTCCTGTAAGCACCTGCCTGGCAAGCGCAATGACCCGGCAAACCCCAGTACCGCAGCCAGCACTATTACAGCCCCAACGCGTCATCTGTGCACCCTCAAAAGGGCTTACGATGTACGTGGGTTACATCCTCACCCCTTAGTGAGACCGTGCATAAAATCTCATCACTTTTTTTTGAATATTCACATTTCCCCCTGCGATGTCCCCGTGCAAGTGATGTTAAAAGTTAACACGCCCTTTGCCTGTGAGCCTGCCAGTTGTCAATCTCATGGTAGAAGCAGGGGCCTGTCCTACCCTGTAACTGGGTTCACCCCACGCGGTCTGTGGAAGCCCACGCTCCCCTGCCTTAGGTCCTGAGCACCCCGCCCCAGCTTACTTTCCAGGGCAGAACAAAGTACATAAGAGAGGTGCTCGTTGCATGCCGCGGCGAGCGAGGGCAGAGCGGAGCCCAAGGGCCGGTGGCTCCACTCTTCCGTGGCGCCGGCTCCCTTCAGTCTTACCGCTAAGTGAAACGGAAATAGCCGTAAGTGGCTCCAGGGTTGCGCCTCCGCTCGCGCAGATCCACTTGGCCAGGAAATGGGCGGAGGCTGGTCCAGCGACTAGGGGTGGTGTCTGCGAGGCGCCGCCAGAGCCCCCAAGCCTTGTTCTCGCGCAAGCCCAGAAGAAAAAATGCGCAGAGGTCAGAAGTGAGCCGCAGGGAGCGGCTTCCACCTTACAGGCGGAGTCACTTCCTCTGGTTCAAACTCTGAAACGTGGGGGAGGGAGGGAAGGAAGAAGGTCTGGAGGGTGGGTCGGACGGGAGGAACAGCTTTGATGTCCTACTAGCGTCTAACTGCACAGGAACAAACAAGGTTGACAGCAAGTAAATGGATATTTAAAATACCTCGGATTTTGAATGTTCCTGGCACAAAGAAATTATGTATATGTGTTGAAAGATGTTCTAATTCCCCTGCTGATATACGCAGTCTACATCCACTGAGATGTCACAGTGTGCCCTAGAAAAACCTGCAACTATTATGGGTGAACTAAAACGAAAACTATGCATTCAAACCGGAAGTAATGACATCGCGAGGGGAAAAATAACTCCTAACCCCTTAGAGGTCAGATGTGCCCAAATCTTGCCTCCTGAATACCGAAGAATGGAATTTGAGGGCAGAGGAGAGTAGGACAGGTTTCCTGAGAGAAAAACCTTCAGGAACAGAAGGGGTCCCGCGTGGGTGGTGGAGGAGGCTTTTTCTCCAAGGACATTTTACACTGGGAAATCACAGCGTGGTCAAATTGTAGTCAACCTGCAGGCTTATAAGTGTTATCTCTTAGCTTGCACTCAGCAACGGGGAAGCGAGGCTCGCAGCCAGG